TTTGCTGTACTGGAGATTGAACCCAGGGCCTTTGCACTGAGCTCCAGCCTTTTAAGATTATTATTATTTTGAGACAGGATCTCACTAAGTCTTTAAATTGCCCAGGCTAGGCTCAAACTCAAGATTCTCCTGCCTCAGTCTCCCAGAGGGCTGAGATAGTCCTTAAAAAATAAAGGCAAAATTTGTGTATCTCCTTTCTGCTCACATCTTCTAAAAGCATGCATCTGAATGGAACATAAAGACAAAATCTTGTCTTGTTTGCAGCTACCAGCCATGAAAATGGAAGCATTTCTTCCTTTAACATCAGAGCTTGGGTTACTTATAAAATATTGGCAATACCTAAAATGTGTCATTTCTTTTTTTTCCTCTTAAATTCTTTTATTGGTACATTTTAGGTATACAATACAGTTGCATTCATCATTGGAAACTTGCACCTTTACATGATGTAGCTCAGTTCTTATTTTTTCCCCTTTCCCCTACCCTCCCTTCAACCCCTCCTGAAATGTGTCATTTCTAAACCACATCCCTTTTCTAAGTCACACCTTCCCCAAACTGGCTTCTCTTAGCCTGTGTGTGAACCTAGTGGTGCCTTCTACGAGTTATCTCAGCCTCTTAGGAAGGGATGTTGCTGTTATCTCAAATTAAAAAAAAATATATTGTAGCACTAAATGCGTGAAGATGTTGTCCAGTTTCCCCAAATGTCCCAAGCCACCCACATGATGTTCCCTCACCACGAAGGTCCAACATTCCTGCTGCAAGATTTGGAAAATTAGCTGCTGCTGGGACCGTGAGTTTTTAAAGGGAGAATTCAAGTGTCTGCAAAACTAACCTCAAGCAAGTTTTAAAACACTTCCAAGAAGGAGCCATCTTCTCATCCGGCTGGGTTGGTGGGTGACTCGTGGGAAATTAAGCCCTTCACGTGCTGTCACAAACAGAAGAAAGACTCCCGGGACCCCTGAACTCCCCAGCCAGGACAAAGGACATTTACAAAGAGAATTTTGGCAAGGGGAGGGAAGGAAAATTTGTGGCCAATGACAGGGCCCCAACGACAACACATTCAACTTCACTTTTTCTTCTTTTTGTTTCTTTGCAGATCTGTTTTTCTTTTTTTTCAAATAAGTGCTTGCAATTTATGTTTTTGTTTTTTGCTACTGGGGATTGAACTCAGGACCTTGCAAGGCAGGCGACGGCACCACTGATCTAAATCCCCGGTGGATTATGCTCATTTTGAACACTTTCCAACCCAACCTAAAATCTCATCTGTTTTATGATGGTCATGGCAACTAAAGAACTTTTTACCCACACGTTCCCAAATTGAGGCTCACATGGAAATTAAAATGTAAACACGGAATCTGTGCATCTGCAGGAGCCTTGAGTCCACAGAGGCTTCTTTGCTTCCTGAAGAGCTCGTTCTCTCCCTCCCCATCCAAGATGACTGAATTTTCCAGGATCAATGGAATCAAATGCATAGATCCTTGAGATACAGTTAGGGTCTCGCTGTCAAAACATCCTCCAAGCAAGCTCTGGTTGTCTTCACCACGGAGTATTGGGATTCCCAGCAAGCCCCACACCACACTAGCCTCCTTTAGGAAGTTTATTTCTCTTTTGAATGAGGATAAAGGGAGAAAGAAGAGAGCTGTTCACTCCGCTTGGTTCCACCATGAGCCTTTCTTTTCTCTTTCTTTCCCACTTGGATTGAACGACCACAGATGAACTTTGGAATCCCACACTAAGCCAGTGAGGTCAGGACCCCTTTCTTGTCCCTACAGGAAGCCAGCATCCCTCATCCCAAAGAAGCCACTGCTGACCCTGTCCCCCAAGGGGAACATCTGCTCCTGGTCCAAACCCCTTACCTCCTTGTCCTCGTCCTTGGGCTTGGCCTCTGCCCTGCTCTACAAGTTCTTGTACAGGAAGATCTACTGGCCCATGGGAGTCAGGGACAGCTGGTTCTGCTTGCTCCTCACCATGTTGGCCAAGGAGCTGAAGAGGCACTCAGGGAAGAAGTGGTTGGCTGCACACACCAGTACTTCGGGAGAACCTTGGGAAGATAGGGAAGAGGGCCAAGAAGTCAGACCACCACTTGAGTTGCCAGTGCTTCCTGGAACTTGAAGTTGCTGAGCTCCCCCACCACATGAGTGTGCTACCTCTGCTCATCAGGGCCGTCAGTCTGGCAGAAGATCCTGGCCAGCACGGTGCTCATCATACCGGTGGGTGGCAGCAGTGTGGACTCAGCCAGCATGAACTTCTTGGCCAGAGGTTCCTTGGGGATCACATGGTAAATTTGTCCTTGGTGGTGTGAAGGAAACTTGATTTTGTCCAGCAGGCCTTTGGCCTGCAGCCTCTTGAAGGTGGATAGGAAGGGCAGCATCTTATAGTGCAGGTCCAGGAAGGTGGCCACATTGGGGACATGCTGATCTCAGTGTCCCCTGGTAGATCATGGTTGGTTCCTTGGTGATGACTTCTTTGACCATGCTGATCTCCTTGGCATCAGTTTCCTTGATGTTCAGAAGTATTAGGATGAGTGGTCTGACCACGGTGATGGGAGGTACTTGGACACAGGCAGCATCTTGGTCATTTGCTTGAAGGGCTGAAGTAGCTCTATCAGGCTTTTGACGGTGGCCCACTTGGTGGCCTCCAGCATCAAGCGATGATTGTTGCTGTCTTCCATCGGGACACTGGAGATGACAAACTGCTGCCCCTTGAGATGCTGTCCCACGAGGACACCTGTTTGCTGACCAGCACTCAGGCTCCCATATGCTTTTTCTTCTTACAAAGCATGTACCTGGTCACTGAAGACTGCCAGAAATGCTCTACCAGCCTGTGACACTGTGCCAGGAGGCCAACCAGCTTGGACAGCCAGAAGACCTGCTGGATGCCCATGTTGAAGGTCTGTCTCAGGCAGGGCATTTGTACAGAGATGTCCAGCAAGGAGCATGCCTTAGTGATGTTCTACAAGGTCTGATGTTGGTCCTGGACACTTTGTTGCTTGTGGCCCATTCAGTGAAGACATGATGGTCCCTGCCATGTTTTCAGGCAACTCGAACATCTTCAGGCAACTGGACTCACAGAAAGGGAGTTGGGAGAGCCCATGGTCAGGAAATGGGAGGCCAGGGTCATGTAAATCCTGTTCTGTTTGTTACTCCTCTGCATGTCTGTGGAGATTGTGGGAGCCCGGCCGTGGCCCTCTAGGAGTTTGACATTTAAAAGGAAACTTCTTCACCTCTACACTCAAGGCATTGATACAATCTGTAACATTCTAGGACTCTGCTTGTTAAACTTGTTGCTGCAACGGAAGAAACTCAAAGAGACAGCCATAGATCTGATGTTATCAGTAAGAGTCAGGAAATTCGGTCTTTGAAAAACAATGATTTGGTGTTGTGTGCCCTTAAAAGCTTCCTGTTGCTGTGAACCTATAAAAGGAGCTGTTTCTGTGAAATAAATCAGACTTCTCTTTGTCTCCGCTCAGGTTTGAGTGTTCTTTCCTTTCTCAATCCTCACTCCCCGACTCAGGCATGTTCGTGTTGTGACGGCTGGACCGCCACAAGTGGCGCCGGAACAGGGACCTGAAGAACAGGGATTTGAAGAACAGGGACCTGAGTATCGAGGGACTCAGTGAAGGACACCGCTGGATAAAGAATAAAAGCAGATCTCGTCAAAAAGAAAGAAGAGGACCTTCAAAAGGAAGGCAAAAGAGGAGCGGTGAGTTTTCTTGTAAATATTAAAAATGGGAGCAGGCAAGAGTTGCATGCTTTTTTTTATATGTGCTTAAAGATTTATTGTGTGTCAGTGGTGCTAGAGTAGGGCATCAGCAATTGTGTAATTTAGTAGAATTTGTAGAAATAGTTCGTCCTTCGTTTCCTTTTCTTTGCTTCTGTGTCTTTCTTTTTCTGTTAATGTATGAATTGGTAATTTGTGATCCGGATCATTTTGGAGGCAGGGAGGGAGGTCCAGGCAGACGTGCTAGTGGACTCCCCGCAGCAGGGGCCCGAGAGGTCCTTTGCCCTTCTGGTAGGAACTTTGTCTCTGTGTTTATGGGGAGGGAGGTTGATTTTTTTCTCCTCCTCAAGACCCTCTGGTCGAGAGTGTTCTTCTGGTACTGGTTTCGGAAGAGGAGATTAAGGAGATTCCCGACAGAGTCCCTGGTTCTTCTTTCGGTTTGGTTTTCATAAGTCTTTGTCTTACATTGTTTGGCCTCTTTTGCTCCAGCCTAGGAGTTGCTCAAACTTCTGCTCTGCGACAGTCAGCTGTTAAAACTAGTTTTGGTAACACTTCTTGTGCAAATGATTAAACTGTGATGATAGGTTTAACTTGCTCTTTTAGATTAATACTGTTCTATTGGCAGCTAGTCAAATTTTAAGATGTTACAATCTAAAAGCAGAAAAAGGACATTTTAAGCTGAAGTTTGTTATGGAAGGTTCATAATAAATGAGATAGAAAAATATTAGGAAAGCTATAAGTAAGAGTTGTACTTTTAACATGAAAGGTTTTTGTATGTTCCTCTTGTCTATATGCATGTTGAGAAGGTATGTGAAAATGATTTATTTATGCTTGCTTGTTGGTTTTAAGTCTGTTATAAAAAGTTTTAGAGTCAAGAAGAGCTTTCATTCCTTTAACCCTAATTCTACAAGAGATCTGTTAATTTTGATCTGCAAAAGTTTTGACTAGTAGTAACTAAAGATTTTATAATTCAATTGGCCAAAACCACCTAAATAGACAGCAAGGAGAACTTAATGCAACTTATGAGATGCTAGCAGGAGAGGGACCTTATGGCAATCTATTGGAGCCAATAGGCCAGAGATAAAACTGTTAATTCAAGGAAAATCTTTTACTGGTTTATTAGATACTGGTGCTGATGTCTCCGTTATAACTGCTGACCAGTGGCCTTCTACATGGCCTTTGCAGGAGACTGTCTCTCAATTACAAGGCATTGGTCAAAGTGGAAATCCTAAACAAAGTACTGATATGTTAAATTGGAGTGATTTAGAAGGACATTGTGGGACTTTTCAACCATATGTTATTCCTGGCCTCCCGGTTAATCAATGGGGAAGGGATGTCACCCAACAAATGGGAGTTTATTTATATAGCCCTAATCAAAAGGTCTCTAACCAAATGTTTGATCAAGGATTCTTGCCTAATGTTGGTTTAGGAAAGGAAGGTCAAAGAATTCAATTTCCTGTGACTCCTTCAGCTCATCCTCCTAAACAAGGACTGGGATATTTTCCCTAGGGGTCATTGACATGCCTGCACCCCATGCAGATCCAATAGTCTGGAAAGATGAAAAACCTGTTTGGGTTGACCAATGGCCCTTACCTAGTGAGAAATTAACAGCTGCCCAACAGTTAGTGCAGGAAGAATTAGATAAAGGCCACATTGAACCGTCTGTCTCTCCTTGGAATTCACCAATTTTTGTTATAAAGAAAAAGTCTGGTAAATGGAGATTATTGCAAGATTTAAGAAAGATTAATGAAACTATGGAAATCATGGGAGCATTACAACCTGGTCTTCCCCTTGCCTCTGCAACACCTAGAAATACTTTTAAAATAGTTATTGATTTAAAGGATTGTTTTTATACTATACCTCTAGCCCCTACAGATTGTAAACGATTTGCTTTTAGTGTCCCTTCTATTAATTTCCAGGAACCTATGCAAAGGTACCAATGGAGAGTTTTGCCTCAAGGTATGGCAAATAGCCCTACCCTATGTCAAAAGTTTGTAGCACAAGCTCTTTCCTGTATTAGACAAAGGTATCCTTCTGTTTATATGATACATTATATGGATGACATTCTCTTAGCAAATGAAGATGAATCATTATTGCTTACTGTATTTGTTTATTTACAAAAGGTTTTAAATGATTATGGGTTAGTTATTGCTCCTGAAAAAATTCAACAGGAGTCTCCTTTTTCATATTTGGGATATCAGCTATATCCTCGAAAAATATTTACCCAAAAGTTACAGATTCGAAAAGATAATTTGAAAACTTTGAATGATTTTCAAAAATTATTGGGAGATATAAATTGGATACGTCCCTATTTAAAATTAACTACCGGAGAATTAAAACCTTTATTTGATATCTTGCAAGGGGATCCTGATCCTTCCTCCCTCAGGACCCTCACATATGAAGGACGATTGGCTCTTCAAAAGGTGGAAATAGCCATTTCTAATCAACAGATATTTTATTTTGATTATCAAAAACCCTTAGAAGCTTTTATTTTTCTAACCAAACATTCCCCTACAGCTGTTTTGTGGCAAAATGGACCTTTATTGTGGTTACATTTATCTGTTTCACCTGCCAAAAATTTACAACCTTATTATGAAGCTGTTGCCCAACTTGTTCAATCAATCCGATGTAATGCTCGGAAATATTTTGGTTTAGAACCTTCCATTATTGTAATTCCATTTACAGGAAAACAATTAGATTGGCTGTTTCAGAATTGTGATTCCTGGGCTATTGCATTTGCATATTTTTCAGGCCAAATTAAATTTCATTATCCACCTAATAAATTGTTACAATTTGCAAATCTTCAATCCTTCATTTTTCCAAAAATTATTTCATTTAAGCCTATACCTGATGCCATTGTTATTTTCACTGATGGATCCTCTAATGGAAAAGCTGTTTATGTTATTGATGGTCATGAAAAGGTTTTTTCCACACCTGCTGCTTCGGCACAAGTAGTTGAATTGCGTGCCATTCTTTTTGTTTTTCAGGAATTTTCCCATGTTTCTTTTAATCTATATACTGATAGTCAGTATTTGGCTAAAGCCCTTCCTTCTTTAGAAACTGTGGCCTGTATTAATACCAGTAATTTAGAGATTCAACAACTTTTTATTCAAGTACAAAATTATATTCATAATCGTTCTCTTCCTTGTTTTATTGGACATATTCGAGCACATACTGTGTTACCCGGTCCATTGTCTTTGGGAAATCATCTTGCTGATGTTTCCACAAAATTTATTGCCCTTTCTAAAATTGATTTAGCTCGTCAATCTCATCAACTCCATCACCAAAGTAGTCGTGCTCTTAGATATCAATTTCAGATTCCTCGAGAAGCTGCCCGACAAATTGTTAAACAGTGCTCCACTTGCCCTCAATTTTCTTCTGTTCCACATTATGGTATTAATCCTCGAGGTTTGCTTCCTAATCAACTATGGCAAATGGATGTTACTCATGTAATGGAGTTTGGAAAACAAAGGTATGTACATGTTGTTGTTGACACTTTTTCAGGATTTATTCTTGCTTCAGCTCAAACAGGAGAAGCTACTAAACATGTTATTGCTCACTGTATATATTGTTTCTCCATTTTAGGAGTACCTCAAAAAATAAAAACAGATAATGGTTCTGGATATGTTAGTAAGGCCTTCAAACTATTCTGCCAACAAATGCATATTGTGCATATTACAGGTATTCCCTATAATCCTCAAGGACAAGGAATAGTTGAACGTGCTCATGGCACATTAAAAGTGCAACTTCTAAAAATAAAAAAGGGGGAGTTATATCCCTCCTCACCCAGAAATTACTTAAATCATGCTACCTATATTTTAATTTTTTGCAAATTGATAAGCATGGTCATTCAGCAGCAGAAAGATTCTGGCATCCACAAGGTTCTCCATATACCTTGGTAAAATGTATGGACTGGTCAATGGTATGGACCCAATCCCATTCTAATATGGGGCCGAGGATATGTTTGTGATTTCTCACAGGAACATGATGGAGCTCGATGGGTACCAGAGAGATTCATTCATCATGTAGATCATCCTGACAAATCTACATCCAGTATCATGGGACAGTAACCTCCACAATAATTACCTTTGTGTGGAGAAGAAACAGAAATAGGCAGTACTACTATTTTATGGAAGAGGTGTTATGTTACTTTACTATACCTCAAGAAAGACCATTTAATGACACATCACAAAAGTTTTTGGACTAATCACTTGGACTTAAGCTTGTCTGCAGGACTTTACTTTGGTGGACAAATTCAGGTTTTTCTCAAACATTTGGAAGTTTGTTGCTGTATTGGGAGAAATATGTTTATGGTCAGATGTCAAAGTTACTAGCCTTAATTTCAATGTTTTTAACATAGAGACTTTTAATATGTGAAATACCATAAATACTGTGTTATCTCAAGTCAAAGAACAAAAGAAAAAGATAATGTCTTGTGTTAATCCTCCTTATATGTTATTGGTAAGAATATAGAGATTGCTTATGAAACTGATAATGAATATAACAACAGCTGTTTTAATTGTAAATTGACCAATTGTATATTCTCAAAATGATGACTTCCTTTCATTCTGTGATGGTTTTGACACAACCTCTCTACATGATGATGTTTGTAACAATTAATGAGTCCTAGTATGAAGATCAAGGGTTACAGATGTTGATAGAGGTAGAGAAATCTACATGTCAAGTCTCCACAACCTATGATCTAACCCCTGCAGAGGCTGGTAGTCAAAGACAGGTAAGAGAAGTGTAGAGAAATATCCAACCTAAGACAGAGCATGAGTATCAGAATTCTCATGGCTTGATGACGGGTAAGGGATTTCTCTGGACATTTCTCACCTAAGACAGTCACAGTCTTTCTGCTGAGCTGCGAAAGTCCTTGCTCTAAATATAATAAAAAAAGGGGGATATGTGGGAGCCCGGCCGTGGCCCTCTAGGAGTTTGACATTTAAAAGGAAACTTCTTCACCTCTACACTCAAGGCATTGATATAATCTGTAACATTCTAGGACTCTGCTTGTTAAACTTGTTGCTGCAACGGAAGAAACTCAAAGAGACAGCCATAGATCTGATGTTATCAGTAAGAGTCAGGAAATTCGGTCTTTGAAAAACAATGATTTGGTGTTGTGTGCCCTTAAAAGCTTCCTGTTGCTGTGAACCTATAAAAGGAGCTGTTTCTGTGAAATAAATCAGACTTCTCTTTGTCTCCGCTCAGGTTTGAGTGTTCTTTCCTTTCTCAATCCTCACTCCCCGACTCAGGCATGTTCGTGTTGTGACGGCTGGACCACCACAGGAGATCCCACACCAGGAGGTATTGGCCAGCTCACTGAGGACCACCCTACTGATGGCCCATACTTCCCAGGGATGCCCTTGCTGGAGAATAGTGGCCATCTTCAACAGTGCTCAGAAGGTAGACTCGTCCACAATGGACGCCAGGTACAGACCCTTACACGTGAGCCCTAGGATGGTAGCTCTGAACTCCTGGTGCTTCTTACTCTCTAACCTGCGTCCTGGATTCAGGCCACCGTGTGCTGTGAGGGTTGCTGAGTTTGGAGAAGGTGGTGGTGAAGGCTTCTTGGATCTGCTCCATGTAGCTCTTGAGTTTGTACCTCCTTGTGGTAGCTCTTTTCCAGGCGGTGGGACAGATTGGAAGTCTTGCAGGAATAGGTGACCTGGGCCATGCAGACCCAAAGTAGATCTTCCAGCACAAGATGCACTCCTCTGCAGAAGCCGAAGTACAGTACTTCCATACTGTACCTTGCTCTTGGTGTGTGGTGGGCTGTCAGCTTCAGGTTTGTCTGAGAACCATCCGGGGCTTTGCTCTCCATCACTTCTGCCTGGCGGGCATCTGCTCATGTGTGGGCATTTGCCAGGGTTTGAGGGGGTGGGGGTATGAGGTCTGTCAGATGTCATCCTGGGGAAAGAGGGGCATTTTCAGAGCCGAGGAGCCTTGGAGGATAGATGAGGAGGATGAGGATGTGGTGGTGATGGTAGGCAGAGCTGCCTGAGGTCTGGGGAATAGGGTGCACAGAACCCTGGAGACTTGGCCATATACCTTGGCCAACCACCCACCTCCCCGGCCCAGTGTAGCTGGGGAGCAAGGCTGGCTGAGGGTCACAGGAAAGAGCATTGCATGCAGCAAGGTTGTAGGTATGGGCTGTTCCCAGGTGTCTGTACTTCTTCCCACAGTGATCCTCCCTCTTCCCTTGTTTATCTTTTGGAGGACTATGTGTTTTATCATATTAATTTACTGCCGCTTATAGTTTGGGTTCTTAATTGATTCCTGCCTGCATTTTCCTTTTATACTTATAAACTTGGCTACTGTTATTATACAGGAAAGAAAACTGTTTTTCCCAATCTCTCACTCAAGGATCCACACTTCTGGTACCCAGATGTGTGGGGTCTTTTCCCTACATACCAAACAAGCCATCTTTCTGCAGCGGATTCTGCAGAAGACACCAGCTGGGTATCCTTTCGTTCAATGCAATTCTCACACCGTTTCCCAAAGAGAGCAATCAGATCCTCCAGGTGAGGAGATTACAGGCGAGGATCCTCCAGGTGAGGAGCTGGGATTACAGGCGTGCACCGCCATGCCCGGGTTGAATGTTTATTTTGAGACAGGGTCTCACTAAGTTGTCCAGGTGAGGGTTCAGTCCCTTAAACTGCCCCAACTTCCATTGCTAACCGGTAACGCCCACATTGCTTTACCTGTGCTTTTGACCCAACTGGCTGTAAGTCAGGGTCCTACAACCTTCATCTTGGGTTCGTATAACTCAGGGAAACATTTTACTTGTGTTTACCAGTTCATTCATAAAGGGTGTCATGAAAGATACAGATGAACAGCCAGATGGAAGGGACGCACAGTGGGGAAGGTGTGCAGAGCCTGCATGTCCCCTCCAGATGTGTCACCTTCAGGAACCCCACCTATTCAGCTACCCTAAAACTCCCGAGCCCAGACCTTTAGGGTCTAGAATTTTTATTATGCAGACATGATTGACTGAATCACTGACCGCTGGTGATTAACTTCACCTTCTTGAAGCCTCGGGGTGGGGTGGGCTGAAAGTTTCAACTTCTTAACTCTGCCTTGTTCTTTCTGATGATCAGCCTTAAGCTCTCTAGGGCTTCTCAGCCCCCAGTTCTTTCATTAGCATAGAAGAGATACACTATACAGTATCTCAAAGTTTCACAGGCTCTTTTAAATCCTTGCCACAGAGATTTTTTTTCAGATTATCTCTTGGAGTATATTCTTCAACAGTGGGATTACTGGGTCAATGAATATTGATAGCTTTATAGCACTTGCCGATGGCAGCAATGTGTATCTCTTTATACTCTTAGTTCACACTGAAGGCTGAGTAGGTAGGGACTATGCTAGCTTCAGGGGTATACAAGTATAGTGTTTAGCATCAAGTAATTTACTTTCCAGTAGGACAGACAAGAAAATGTTTTAATAACATTTAAGCACAAAGAAAGCAGAATTGGGGAATGGAACCGACTCTAGTGGGGAGAGCTAGAAGTAGGCTGGGAACTGGGACACAAAAAGAGTCCCTGGAAGAAAGGAAACTTGAGATGGATCTGGAAGGCTGAGATGGAATTAATCAGACATGAGTAAATGAATAGAAGCTTTGTATATATAGCCAGAGTTGTTTGGGGATTTATAAATAATTAGTATTCCTGGGAGATGTGTGTGTGTGTGTGTGTGTGTGTGTGTGTGTGTGTTAGGAGGAGGGGTCAAAGAGAATAAGCAGCACAAGGATAATGGCTTGGAGGTTATGTATAAGGCCACTAGGAGCACTGTAGGGGAGACACAATTGAGAGCAGAGGATGTTTCAAGGAAGTAACAGTAGGCAGTGTGAACTGTTTTAGTTTTTATTATTATTTTTACCATTCTTTATCAGAATATTGTAAACAACTCAAATGGAATTCAGCGCTTTCCAAATCTCAATCTCTCTCTCTCTTCCTCTCTGGTATTGGAAAATGAAACCAAGGGCCTTCCACACAGCTGCATTTCTAGCCTTTTGTTTTTATTTTGATAGGGCAGACATTCAAATAGGTCATCGCTGCCATGGGGGGCACATGATTGGTCCAAAGTTGATAGGGAAGATGTCTGAATGTTTGTTATTTATTTATTTAGTTAGTTTTTTTGAGACAGGGTCTCACTATGTAGTTGAGACTGACCTGGAACTCACTCTGTAGCTCAGGCTGGTCTCGAACTCACAGTTATCCTCCTGCCTCAGCCTCCCGAGTGCTGGGATTACAGGTGTGCACCACCATGCCCGGTTTGAATGTTTATTTTGAGACAGGGTCTCACTAAATTGTCCAGGGTGAGCTTGAAATTGTGAACCTCCTGCCTCAGCCTCCTAAGTAGCTGAGGTTACAGGTGGGCACCACTGTGCCAGTCTTATGTCCACACTGTAAAACGGTGACCACACTCAATGCCCAGTAAGACTAGCAAAACTGCTCCTCCTAAACCCAGCTCAAATTGCTGACTCATAGACTTCTGAGCAAATAAAATGGTTGTCATTAAAGGTTACCAAAGTCTGAGTACTGTTATGTGGCAATAAATAACTTTTGTTACCTACTTATCTTTTAAAGTGTATTTTTTTCAGTATGTACCTGTTTTTATGGCATTTCATCATTAAAGGCTAAATATCACTAAATCTAAAGAGTTGTCTCTTTAGAGTATTCCATGTTCTAGTTTACTTATCAAACTATTAAAATCAATGTGACAGCTTGGAATCTTTATTCAGTTTTGATTCTGATCCTTTGTTTCCTGTCTTTAAGTCATCTTTCTGTTCAAGGAAAAAATGTCTCACACTTTAACAGGGAATTCATAAAAGGGAGTGGAGGGGCTAAGGAAGGGTGGAAGGATCTGTCACAAGCACAGCACTGAATGATCCTGGTTGGCCAGTGGGCTCAGCAATAATTTGTCTTGGGACTGTATCTTATTTCTTTTTCTTACTTTTTTTTTGGAGACAAGGGCTCACTTTGTAGTTGAGACTGACCTGGAACTCACTATGTAGCCCAGGATGGTCTTGAACTCACAGCTATCCTCCTGCCTCAGCCTCTCTCGAGTGCTGGGATTATAGGTGTGTGCCACCACGCCTGGCAACCGTGTCTTATTTCTATCTCCAAGGTCTATCACAGGTATTTGTAGTTTCTTCATGGCTATGTTCAACTAGGACACATGCAGAGAGAGCAAAATTCTTTTTATACATTGCTTCATATTTCCATATCTTGGTTTTCAAAAGCAGAGGTAGTTTAGCCTTGGGTTCTGGGTAACTCTTTTTTTTTTTTGCTCCTGGGGATCGAACTCAGGATCTTGCACTCACAAGGCAGGCACAGTACCACTGAGCTACATCCCCAGAGCAAGCCCTGAGTTCTGGTTACACAGGCCACAAAGCCTTGGGTCTATAAGGAACACCTCAAAGCCTCATGTAGTAGCGCTTTTGCCTACCCTCTTTTTAAACTCGTGGAAATGTTAATCTGGTGATGTTTCTACTTACTGCATTCAAACAAACATGGTCCAACCACACACAGGAGGACAAATCTTTAACTCCAGTCCTCATGTTTAAGACAGAAGCCTTTAAGGGAGAGGGGCAAAAGTGGTCTTCATGTGTCACAACAGAAAAGCTAGAGTGCCAGATCAACCAGGCTGAGGTTTTGCTTATGTCCCATGCTTTCTAATGAACAATGCTAGGCTCAGAACCTACCCTAAAGGTTGTAGATACCCCCAACACTTTAGTCTGTACCAGGAGTCCTACTTCGTTTTTGCTTTGTTTTCTGAGGTGGAGTCTTATAATCCAGGCTGGCCTCAGACTTTCCTCCCTCTTGCCAAGACCAAAGGTGTGCACATGCACCTGGCATTAAGTTCCTCCTACATGCTTCACAACTTGTACTGAACAATGAGTTCTGGGTTGGAGAAGAGCATCTATTGTTTTGTACTTAAGTTTTAGTTCACAAGTTAGACAAAAGCAGATCAGGTGCCACTGATTGGCCAACTCTTACCTCAAGTCCTCCGGGCCTTCCAGGGTTCCTTCAGGAAAATGGATCATGGAAATGTTTCCCCTACTCTGGCTCCACTTAGGTTTTTCTGCTAATGCTCCTGGCTTTGCCCAAAACTAAATGATCGGTGATCCAACGATCTCAAATGTTGAGGAAGATATAAAATAAACTAAAAACGGAGGCCCCTATGTTCAAATTGAAGCAAACCAAAGAATACAATAATGGTTACAGTTGCTCTATCTGCACGCCTGACCTTAGTTAGAGCTAATATTTACACAGGAACAAGGAAAAAGGCGTCTCAAGGGTGACACCAGGAGAACTACTCATCTGGACAATGTGTGCCTGGACTAGACTTCTGCTTCCATTGTAGTAGAAGGAGGTATGGGGCAGAGGTGGCAATTTTTGGGGGTAACAGGCAGCTGCTGGATCACCACAACTTCACAATGCTGAAAATGAGACTTTGCTCTGTGTAAAGCGCAGCCTGAAATCTGTTCCAAAGAGAATGGCCCTTTTATTTAGCATTATCAGTAATCGCTTTCATTCAGTAGCAGTTGTAAGATACATCACTTATCTTGAAACAAGAATGGCAAGTTGTAGCGGGTACACATTCATGATTAGACTTGTGATTTCACTCTGACCTTCGTTATCGCCACAGCCCCGATCTCCGAGTCTTTACATCGCCTGCTTTAGTGGGCAAAGGTCGAGAGCAAACTGGCCCTAACACAGGAAGCCGAAGCACTCAGCCTGGGCGACTTGTCACAAAATAATTAAAAAGGGGCTGCGGCTGCGGCCCTGGGTTCCATCCTCAGGCGCACGAAGGTTCTGATAGCACCCAACAGCCGAGACCCTGCCCTCCTCCACCGACACGGGAAATAACAGGCATTATTAAAGCTGAGGCTCAGTATGTTCACAGCCTTTTTCTGTGATAAAGACTGTGGTTAATGACCCACTTAATAGTTTTCTATACATTCTTGCCCAGGAGGGTTACTATTTAAAAAAAAAAAAAAAGTAAAATACAACAAAAAACAGGCAACCAAAACCCTGCTAGAGGTTTATGATAGCCAGCTAATTCCATTTTTAAGAAATTATAAGCAACTTAATGACTCTTTGAAGCTCTTCCTCTTGATTAAAACCTGACAGTGGGTTTGGGGGTGTAGCTCAGCGAGAGAGCACTTGCTTAGCGTGTGAGGTCCTGGGTTTGACTCCCAGAATTGCAAAACAAGGCTTGTGACTCCTGCTTTTTTTTCTTAACCATCTTATCACGGTAATGTGTAGAAGCGTGGTGCAGTAAAAAAACATTCAGTGAAAAGCAGAAGTTTTATTACGAACAAGTCGTGTGACTTTTGGGGAGAACATAACTTTTCTATCATTCCATTTCGTACAACTGGAACCATCCACTGGCCTACGGCTCAGGATTGCTAGGTGACTTAGTGGCGGTAAACTGCTTTGACAGCCACAGAGCCCAGAAGGCATTATCTGGGGCTGGGGATTGAGCATAGGCCTCACATAGGCCAAGCACATGTGTTCTACCACTGTTTTGCCCCATCCTCTTTTTAAATTCTAAAATGGAATCAAAACCAATATCTTTTAATAAACTTCCTTAGAACACCTTATTTTTTGCTTCAGCAAGATACTGGAGTCCTTAACTATATTACTCCTTTAACTTCCAATTTATTAACTAACTCCATTTATCTGCTTTTTGGTACTAGGGATCAAACTCGGGCCCTTGTGCTTTCAAAGCAGGTGGCAGAACCACTGAGCCAAATTCCTGGCCCTCTAACTCCATTTCTCTGGCACTTTCACTTTGAATAAAAGAACTCTGGGAATGAAGTTTTATTTTAGGTCATATTACAAAGACGGTAATAGCTTTAGCATGACTTTATATTTTTTATAATTACTATTCTGTTTATTTAGTTGTTTTTGGCGTTTGGAGACTCCATAATTCAGGCTGGCCTTGGACTCACTATGTAGACCAGGCTGGCTTCAAACTTGGGGCATCCTCCTGCCTCAGCCTCCTGAGTGCTGGGATTAGAGGTGTGTGCCACCATGCCCAATTTATGATTACCATTCTAGAAAGCAAAATGCCTGTTCTTGACTGCTTGAGATACAGAGGGGATAAACTTCAGTGCACGAGGAGGCAGACAAGGAAAGCAAAGCAACAATAAACTATGGGCCATACGGTTGTGCACTTGGAAGAGGCCGCCCGGGGTGTAAATGAAACCAGCCAGGCCAACATCTTTGGACAGCTCTGGGCTGCCTCAGGGATAAAAGCCTCTTGGAATGAAATTCAGAAAAGAGTAGACAGAAAAGTGATTCAGTTCCAAAAACAAATTTGTTTGATCTTTTCTTTCTAGGTGAGAGTTCATAAAATTATGGGGAAATACTATGTTATACTTGTTAAGGTTGAAATACTATTGTTTCCCATGCTCTGTATTATAACTGCCATGGTAGGGCAAGAATTATTATCTTTTCACAAATGGATTGATTTAATCTCAGAGAAGTTAATATATAATTTCATTGAGTTTCAGAGATGAACAGAGTTAACCTAATGCCCTCCTTTTAAAAGAGAGCTGGGGGCCAGGAGTGATGGTGCATGCCTGTCATCCCAGTGTTTGGGAGGCTGAGACAGGAGGATTTCTGCACAGTTCAAGGCCAGCCTGGCGTACAAAGTGAGTTCAAGGTCAATTTGAACTACAAAGTAAGACTGTCTTAAAAAACAAAACAAAGCAAAACACCCAGGAAACTGGGGCTGCATGAAATAAGTTGCCTGGAATCATGTAGGCAGCACATAAAGTTGCCAAAATGTAAACAAGGGTCTATGTTGTGCTTCAGTGCAGAAACTCTCAAATGGATTTATTACTGATTCAAACTTATTACAACCTTCTTCGGAGGAGAGGAAAAAAATTGTAGATGCTTTCACCAAATTAAAAGTTGCTCTTTAAAAAAAAAAAAAATCACTTTTAGGGCTGGGGATTTAGCTCAGTGGTGCCATTGGCTGCCTCACAAGTGTAAAGCCCTGAGTTCGATCCCCAGTACAGGGAGGAAAAAAAAAATTCCAGGCTGAAAAAAAATTGCTTCTGAAGGTAGGAATTCTTTCTCTCCCTCCTTCCCTTCGCCCTCCCTCCTTTCCTTCCTCCTCTCCCTTTCTTTCTTGGAAACAGGGCCTCATAAAGTTGCCCTGGCTGCTCTTGAACTCCTGGGTTCAAGTGGTTCTCTCACCTGAGCCTCCCAAATAACTGGGACTACATCCATGCAACCATGGCTTGCTCTGCGGTAAAACAAGTTTAAAAATTAAAAAAATGTCATTTTAAGTTTGTGTGCATCCGAAGTGAGTGACAAGTGCAGTTTATGAGGCAGCTTGTACTCATGTCATATTTTATGGCTTTCCATAATGAACTAAAATATTTTATGTTTCTATTTCAGATGGGCAAGCACAGGGCTGGTACCGAATCATTTGCTAGTGAGAGTACTTTTAATCATATTGTATTGATTAGAAGAGGTACATAGCAGAGGAGAGCTGCTGATTATAAATAGCAGAGCATTACTTGGGACAAAAGCCTCAGGGTGACTGCTTTGTATTTAGCAGAGGCATGTCACTTCCGTTGGCTTAATAGTACACAGAAGATTGGAACACAGATTGATATAGTTTTATATAAAGGAAACATATTTAAATTTTCTTCTTCTCCATTGTTGTTTTTGTTTTTCGGTCTCTGAAGTCCCAAACTGGCCCTGAACTCAGTAATCTGCCTGCCTCAGCCTCCCAAGTGCTGGGATTACAGGTGTGCACACACTAGGTGCAATTTCCTTCTGAAAAGCACTGATTTCTTATGTCTGACTCAATACTAGCACTTATAGCATATCAGAGATCTCTGCTCCCTCATATTCAATGGAATAGGTTGACCATGTGTAATGTGCAAGCTACTGGGCTATGGGACATGAGGGAAACTAAGGTCAGGACATGAAAGACACAAATACTCAGGTGAGATAAAGAACTCTGAAGTTTACAGATTATCTACCAAGTACTTAGATGCTTTGTATCTATTACCTACCTCATAATAATGTGCTTTAAGAGGAGAGATAAGATGCAGGTGAAATAATAGTGTACTTGGCATATCCTTGTCCCCCAGTGTTGGATGAATGACTGTAAGAGATTGCAAAATAATTGTGGCCTTTTCTCCGGGGGACCCAGAGAGATCGCGAGCTTGCCTGATGTGGTGGCCTTAACACAGAGCACACTTCATTTGGGGCTGACCATTTCCAAGCTGTGTAACTGGGGGAGTGACTGGGGAGCTAAACCAGGGTGCAGACCTGCTAGGCAACCACTCCACCACGGAGCTCCACTTCCAGCCCTTGTAATCCGAATTTTGACTCCCTACTCTTTGACGTGGAGAAAACACTTCCAACTTCATAGTGTGGTTAAGGCGTAGGTGGTAATGCATGTGAGGTTCTCTGCATATAAAGCACTCAATAAAAAGCATCAACTGTTACTAAATTTTACTATTATTAGAAACATACTCGCTTCTGACCTGGCATTCTTTCCACAATGAACCGGGCTCCAGTTATGTAAAAACACTTGTACGCGCACCTAAGGACCCGTCCTGGCTGCCGGGGCTACTGCTTTGATCTGGTCGGGAAGACATTGGTAATGTGAATTTGGGACGGTTTCTCTGAACGAGTGTGAGCCCAAAGCTCAGAAGCAACGCTGACCTGAGGGTCTTGTCTCCCGATGCCCATTCACTCGCTGGTAGTCTCTTCAGGGACTGCACATTGAACCTCCCACCAGCCTACGCTGCGGCTCAGCCTTCCGCACCGAAAGCCACATTTCCTCAGCTCCTTCTTGCCGCACGTCGTACCAGAAGCCCCATAAGGCCTGCTGCACAGGCCTTCTTCCTTTGCTTCACTGAAACGAGGGAATCACGCCCTCTTACCTGATCTGGCCGCACGCACCCCCAGCCTCGCTAGACTAACAGGGCACCCCAGATCTCTACTTAGGTACAGACACCCAAGAAGCGCGAGCCTTAACTCGGGATACGAGCAAGGCCAGCTGGGAAACTGACCTTTCAACTCCCCTCCTTCCTTACCTCAGCTCACCAATGTTGACCATAGCAAATGAAGTGAAGAAAGGAGCTGGGAGGCGGGACTTAGTGTTGCCTGATCCACGCCGATTGGACCATTGAGATGGCATCGGGGGCCGGGGCCTATGCACGCCCCCCGCCTCCAATGGGAGTGGCAAATCCGGGGTTGCGCTTGCGCGCGGAGGCGGCGGAAGTAGCCTGGGCTACGCGTGCGCGGTGGTTGGAGCGCGGCTCGGACCTTCGCTGCCAGCCCAGTATTACCCTCCTTTGCTCTCGCCTTGTGCTCCACCGCCTCACCGCAGACACTCGCTGCTGAGTGGGAGCTCGTTGTTCGGATCGTCATGGCTGGCTACGAATACGTGAGCCCGGAGCAGCTGGCTGGCTTTGATAAGTACAAGGTAGCGCGTGCTGAAGGACGCCCCTCTCCCTCCTGGCCTCGGCCGCGCCCAGGCGGCGGAGGGGCCGGCGCGGTCCGTGTCACCTTGTGCCTGCTGCG